AAGTTGGAGGTTGTCCGTAAGCCTGAGGTTGTCCATATGTTTCTTGTGCGATTGCAACTTCTGGCTGTTGTTGTCCGTAGACAACTGGTGGAGGCGGTTCCTGGCTCTTTTGGTAACCTGTACAAGTAGGATAAACTTATCATCAGGCTAGGGCAATTTCCTTCCTTTTTCTTTCTTTTTTTTCCTTTTTTTTTTTTTTTTTTTTTGCATTTCGTGCATATAATGTTTCAAAATGTAAAATGTCAAACGAGGGTTCTTTTTTCCACAGAAATTATACTTTTCAGACAAAAGATTACTAATGTAGGCGTTTCAAGTCTTTTTGGAACATGAAAATGAAAATCAAAGAAATATCGTTATGATAAATGTTCTATAAATTTTAGTTTATGCACCATCAAAACATAGCAGTATCTTGTTGAACATAAACACTGAATATAGATGTATTGTTAGATTTGTCTTTTTTATTATCATGTTGGCTGGAATTTCAGACGATCATAATTAAATACGTAATACGAAAACGAACATTGATACTTACAGCAACGCTTACAGCATCCAATAATGCTTAAAAAAAGGACCACTGCACCGATGATAGGACCAACTATTGACCTAAAAAAGATCATGCATATCTACCATTACCTGTGTAAGAGCCAATCTCTGTAATGACTTGGGTCCGTCGTCATAAAACTTTAAGAATTCTCAAAAAAAAAATCTCAACTCAACTCTTGAGAATTACTCAGCTAAGAATATTCTCAAAACCGCCGTCATAAAACGACTTAAAAATATTCTTAGCTAAATAATTCTCAAGAGTTGAGTTGAGAATTTTTTGGAAATGAAAATTTTTCGATGTTTGAAGTGGCCTTGTGGAGCTCTTTGGCGCCAGAAAGGTAAGAATATATGTGTAGTTACATGTAAATAAAAATAAATTTTTCATCGTCTGCTTTACATTCTATACATACACATACGTTTTACAACACAATAGACAAAAAACGGGGACAGACTTGGGGAGTGATGAGGAGGTTGCCCTCATTGAAGAGATCAGATCGAGGGCAACCACACTTTTTGGGGCATTGAAAGGGAGCGGAGTTAAGGGGAAGGTAAATAAATAAAAGAAAAAGAATGGCAGTCATGATCAATTGCCAACAAACTAAACTCGTAAGTAGTTTGTTTAATGTAGATTCATTGAGTAATTTATTTTTTAAATATAATTATCATTTTTCAGCTTTAGACTATCAAAAACGGGTTAAGAATATACAGACTTTTACTATTTAACTAACATTAAACATACATATACTTTCATTTGCATATTATATCTTGTAAATCGGTCATCACTAATTGTTCAATCAGCTGTAGAAAATAACGGCAGCTGAAATACGATCACGTTAATACCTTTCTCACAAGATTAGAAAATGGGAAATGGGATTTTCCATTCTTAAGTTATTTCTATTTTTAGATCCACGCTCAGATAAACATGAAAATGGGAGTGGATCAAATATTTAAGCATTGTTATATTTGCAGACAATTTGACACCAGAGAGTTGGGAGGAAATCAAGAAAAAATGTTATAATATCAAAACAAGAAGTAAAGACTGTTAACTTCCTATACATTTTAGCAGAGAAATAATTATTACAAGTATTTTCTTTTATAATTGTAAAGAGTGAAAAAAAATAACTTCGAGCAAATACACAATAAATATACATATATACGCAATCTTATTCCCTGTTCCTTAAAAAAATGCCATCACAGTCCCTGAAAATGTCCAAGAAGAAAACGCAGGGATAAATGCACAAGGTAATGTGATTTGTTCTTAATTATGTAAATATTATGTATATGGACTGGAAAATTAGGACAAAAATTTAACGTGACAATGCACAATGATGTTGATTATTAGTTTAGTGAATGTTTATCTGTCAAATTCTTCGTGAAAAGACAGAAATAAAGAAAGTCTTCCTATGCAGTTCAAGCTTCAATTCTCAAAACAAGAATTCTTTAAGATTCATTTGACAAATAATTTTGCAGATTGAGATTCTTCATCTAACACCCAATTGCAAGAAAGGCAAGATGTAGAAATGTCATCTGCTAGACATAAAAGAAAGGAAAAGAAAGGTTTGTCAGCAAAATGTAGCACGTACTTCTCTCTCTCTCTCTCTCTCTCTCATATCAAAAAAAAAAGAAAAAAGGGTTCAATTACATAGATTTTATTTTATAGTTTATAATATATATAAAAAATAAATGTAGTTAAACAAAGACAGTCCAATATCTGTTTCAGTATGATGTAGCATATTTTTTATTTTAAAAATCTAAATTGTATAACTTCTTTTCAATCTGCTGATAATTAGTCAAAGCTTTAAAACACAAATTGAAATAGTACAAAGCAGTATTTAAGCGATTTTTTTCAGCAGTGGAACACTTGTCTATTGAATCATTTCTAAATGATCAACAAAGAAGATGAAAAAATGTTAATATACCTGTAATACGTAAAGCCAATTGAACGAAAATAAAGAATTAAAAAAAAACAACTTAAATTTTAGATATAACGCTTTTGTAATTTAATCAAACAGGTGAACCCAATAAAAGAAAACTCGAAGAGTTGGAAGAAAGAAATTTAAAGCTTGACAATGAAAGATTAGAGGAGGAGATCCTTAAGGTGAAACAAGAGAGGAAGTCCTGAACATCCAGAAGGAGGTACTCACCCTGAAGAAGCAGAGGCTTCTGTTAGACATTCAAACAACATAACCTGAAATGTTGGTCCATATTTCATCAGAACTTTAAATATGCTTTTATTTCACCTTTATTTAGCTCATATGAACCAAAAGTTTAAACAAACTTTTCTGATCACTGTTGTCCATGACGTCTGCCTATAGCTGTCTGTCCTTCTGTCTGTCCTTAAGGTGTTGTCATGGTTACTAAAATAGAAATTTATGGGATTTTTCTTTCAAATTGATACTCTTCTTAGAGTTTAATTCTGATTTCAATAAGACTTTGTACACAAGTAGACTATGCAGTAGAGCTACAATCTTATCAGACTTCTGGTTTTAACAAATCAAGTAGTGCAGATTCAAGTTGGTTTGAATTATGTGAACATTGTGGCCCATGTGTCTCTTTTATCCTTGGAATTTCTGAAATAAAATACATGTACATTGAGAGAGAGAGAGAGAGAGAGAGAGAGAGAGAGAGAGAGAGCAAAACTGGACCTCTTTTCATAAAAAAGTTCATAAATTAAAAAAATTTCTCTGACTTGGCTTAATTTTATACCTGATTTAAACTAGGGACACTAGATCTAGTTTGCATTAATATTTCTTCTAGAAAAATCCCTGTGTAATTGCTGCTCTCTATAATACCCCATCGCTGCGGACTTGTCCAGGTTCCTGAATATTTTGCTGGATGCAGGCAGCAACATCAATGTTTGTTAAATTCTGCTGCACACAAATATCTCCTCTGTCAATTCCTAGATTATGGAGTATTACACAAGCTGTAATGAACTGTACTGCTTGGTCTGGGGATACCCTGAACCCGATTTGGAGAGGTTGGAATCTCCTCTTCATGATGCCAAAGGTCTGTTCAATCAAGACACGAGTCTGGCGTAGACTGGCATTATACCTCTCCTCAGACTGTGTCGCCGGTGCTAAATAGGGTGTCATGAGGTATCTTGTAAGGGGGTACTCAGAATCTCCAAGCAGAATCCCGTCATGTAACCCTGAATATTAAAAGAGGGTATAAATGCATGCTTAAGTCAAACTAGTACATAATCAATGCAATTCAGGAAAAGTATTCATATAGAGAAACATATTACATGTACATTGTAGTTACATTATATAATTTGAAGATGTACCATATTTTCAAACTGTTGGTAAAGGTGTGAATTTCTCCAAATTCTCGAACTGTGACATGATCCAGGCCACCTGGCACAAAGTGAGGTCACCTTGAAGGTGGGACCATCTAAAGAAATCCATGTATTTAAACATATATTTTAAAAATATTATATGTTAATAATTATTTATTATTCTAATTTCCTTTTTATGATTAATTTTTGAAATACAGCTGTAACTGACATCCCTCATTAAATTAAAAAGGTCTGATGTCTATTCATAATGCCAAAGAAACTGAGCTTCTACAATGAAATATTATGGTCAAACCAACTTAATATATATTCTAACTACTATATAAAAAATCGGAAGTTTAATCCTTTTAAATTTAAAAAAAAAATTTAAAAGGATTAAACTTCCGATTTTTTAAATACATGAACATTGAGGCTATGGAATTCCTTCCTGTTCACATAATCCGGTTCATTCAGTGATGGAGCTTGAATTCTTATCTGGGTTCCATCAATACAACCCAAAACTTTGGGAAAACCTGTCCATGAAATAATAATTGTTTCAACTTTAATTATATGAGGACATTAAAGGTATGAGGGTTGTATGGCTAAAATATTGGAATACAAATTACATGAACATTTATTTACTTATTTCTAGCAAGAACAACCCAAACCATTTCTGTATTTTTTTAACAATACATATGTACCTTAAACTCATTTAAAATTCATATATCAAAGTAATTAACAAAAATATTTATTTCATTTTTTGCTTTCTCTTTTTTTTAAATTGCCATTATTGATGATTTTCTTACAGAAAATACCCAGCCCACAATCATTTAACTTGCTTTTTTTTCTAACACAGCAGTAAAAACATAGAGGATATATAAATGGAAATAAGAAAAACAATTATTTGAAAGAAAACAAAGTTTTAAAAAAATTAACAGTAGTAATTTTTTTCAAATGTGCTACAAGAATTTAAATTAGTATTTATTTTGCACTAAGTATTGTTAATATATATAGTTTTAATATCATTACACTCTATTGTCAACGTTGACAAATAACAAACAGAACAGCTTTGTTTTGAAAGTTTGTGTTGAATCCACCACCTAATTACACTATTGCACTAAATACAGTTATGGTCCTTAGTGGAACTCTTCCTATCTTCTGTAAATGCCGACGGGAAAAATGCAATTGACTGTAAGGGGATTTTTCATAAATTTACAGAAAAGTAAGTATTCTTTCGAGTGTTGTTGTTTTTTTTTACTTAATTGTTGTTTTTGTAATCTTTCAGTCATGTAGTGTATTTAAAGATTTGCATATATCTCACTAAAAACAAAGAACGATTTTTGCAGTATTTTCCCCCCAAATTATAGGTCTTACCCGCAATTCTTCTGAATCCTTCCTTGACTTTGGTCGCTATTTCACCTACAGGAAATTTTATCAGATTGTTAAAAACTTCAATGATGGCCCTCTCTACCGCTTTAACAACCTTTCCAGTCGTACATTCTGAAACGTTAAGACTGTCTCTAATAAGTCTTAAGTGTGCCCCTGTAGCCACGAAACGGAGAAACAGTAGAACCTGGATCAGTGGAGGAATGGGTCGGTTCCTGGCAGTATCTGCTTGAAGATCGTCACTGACACCATTTACAATATAAAGTATGGTACCAAATCAAATATTTGAGAATAAACAGAGTTGGAGAATTTTTATTTTACTCAACTTTTTTATGACGGCCGCTGAGTCTGAGAATTTAGGATTTGAGAATATTCTCAGACTTGAGAAGATTCTCAGACTTAAGTATGTTTTATGACGGCGGACCCTGGTTGTGCGCTGCTGATTTATTCCATTATTTAGCATTATTGCAATGCATATATTACATCAGTGTCGGGAGTTTATAGAAGGACGGCTAAATTTGACCTGAGCATAAGGAAGTTGCTCCCAGCTGTCTCAAAGAAAACAGTATAAATTTCATCTCGAAAAAATACCCGTATATTTTTGAACTTTTATTATCTCTCTAGCAGTACATGTACATCCTTGTTTCAAATCCTTCAAATTTAATATGTATCTACAGATCTACAGGTATTGAATACTTCCTTGATTTATGCTGTACATTTGTAAACCCGATGAGGACGGGATGTCACAAGAAGAAAAAAAAATTTCGCCCGCACCAACTATTGTTAAATATTGATGGATCCCTTCCTGTAAACACTTTTGATTTCCGAAATTCCGATATGTTTCTGAGCAATTGAAAGCGTTCGTACTTTGTGCATGTATACCTCTGTCACTTTAGTAGTAGTAACGAGACAAAATACTGGGAAGAATATAGAGGGATTAATATATTTCCGGGGCTTTATAAACTTAAGTGGCATAGCTACTATGTATGCTTGCATGTCAGAGCATCCAGATTACAAAAAATAAAAGAAAGAAAGAAAAAGAAAAGAAAAAGGAAGACTAATACAAAATTCTTTGAATAGAGAAGTTCAACGTATTTTAATAAATTTATTTCAGTATTCAAAGATAAATTCTTTTGCATTATCCTCACACTGCACATTCCGAGACTCGATCTAACACTCCTAAATGTCACTTTCTGTTGAGCCCCACCCCCGACCAGCTGGGGGAAGGGTTTAATGCTGCCCCATACCCCTTAGCTTAAATCAGAAAAGCATCCACATTATATTTACCTAGCTACGCCACTGAAATAAATATCTATAACATTATTCATGTTCTCAGTACTTTAGTTGTACTCTTGAAAGTTTTCGTCATTTTCCACCGACCTTAATATCAACATTTCCATCAATAAGAGAACAAGAAAGGTCCAGGGCAAATTGCTAATAACGCACCTACATGTAGATGCTTTCTATTGGTAGATACTTGTACAATTTGAAGGCATTTTTGAGGCGAAATCATCTCATTTTTACACTTAATGAAAGTAAATTAAATTATCAGGCCCGTAGAACGCGGGGCCCCCACTTTTTTCTGAGTATAGTATTCAGGTAAATTCAAACGTCGAATTTAGTTTTATTCACAAACCGAAAGAAGCAGAAAAAAGACTTAAAAGATTTTTTTTTTTGGTTACATATGATTACATTTGAACCCCCCCCCCCCCACCAACATTTGTAACACGTGTGCATCGTTTGCTAGCCTCCCCCCAGCTATTCCGCTAAATCTATTTTCGTAATAAACATCTTATTTGAAATTACTTGTCACATTTATGACAATTTCTTGTTTTTATGCACTTGAAATAATAAAATGTCTGTAATTGAGTTCGTCTCACAGCAACATTGAGAATATATATAATTTAACGAGTTTCTCGTTTTTGGTCTTTGATCTCTGATTATTATTGATTTAAATATTTTTTTTTTAAATGTATGGTAACGTAAGAGTTATCTCAATATTTTTGTATCCAGATCATTTAGATTATACAGAATAAATGCATTTATTTGTCGAAATAACCTTTTTTCTAGGCGAGGATTGGGACTTATTTAGATAAGTCGTTTTCCTAGCAAAAGGAAATAACGTTTCCATAAAATAGTGTTGAATATAAAATAAGAATACCTTTTAATTTTGCTACCTTCTCTCCTTTTAATGAGACATTTACAAGCTAATGGGCAAAAAGCCAAAAAAAAAAAAAAACAAAAAAAAAAAAAAAAAAAAAAAAAAAAACAAACAAAAAAAAAAAAACAAAACAAAACAAAACAAATTAGAAAGAAATACATTTTCAGCTAAATTATTACGTTAAAAACGTTTCTTATTTTTCATTAAAGAAATAAACAACAATGTTAAAAAGTTCACTGGGAAATGAACTTGGTTGGTCATGTGATAAAATCCTGTGAAGCTCGAAGGGCTTCTGAGTAGATTTGATCACGTACCAACCAAGTTCATTTCCAGTAAATTTTTTTAACATTGTTGTTTTTTACATACATTTACATTTGAGACGAATATTCCAAACAGAACTGCATATATTACAAGAACGGCCTGTCGTATTGCTTTGTAGGGACGCGCAATGACCTAGAAGCTTTTTGGTCTTTAAAGTTCGCCTCGCCTCAACATTTGAATATTTACATTGATGTTCAGCAGTCCAGTTCAGGATATCTCTGTTTATAATGAAAGGACAATGATCGCTACTGAGAATAATCTTACTATTATTGTATAAGTTCTTTATATATGAAGTCAAAAGTGGTGTTATCGTCCTCAGTTTACATACCTTCAAGGAACTTCGGGTTAAAAAGGTAAGCACGAACTTTACGCTAATTAAAAACATTCTTCTCACCGGAGAAAGATCTAATGACCATTTGTTGAATTTAGAAATCTATTTGTTTCAATAATTTAATCTTTTTCATCACTTAAACAACTTAGAAGTTCAGAAAACAGTTTTACCGTGACAGAAATATGTACATGTATACGCTAGATATCATCTCGCTGTGTGATTCGGTCACGCTATGACCTCTGACCCCCTAATAAGTTCATACAGAATTGAACATATTTTCTCTTCAATAGGTTCATCTAAGATAAATATTTGCAAATGTAAATATACTCTTTTACATTATGATTTTTTACTTTGCAAAATTACGCGGATTTTTTACGACTTTGACGTAATATTAGCAAAGGAGCTGACGTCATAACTCAGAAATTGAAATGTCATTCAATCTAATTAAAATTAGATTTGTATTTTTGCTCCTCTACTATACTCTTCAATACAAGATATTGTATTGAAATAATCGCATCATCTCGGGCCTTTCCGTCAGAGGTTGGAAAAACAACCTCGAATGTATTAAAATCACCGGATGTTAAAACTCCTATTTATTTAAGTATTGGATAGACGGAGTTGAAAGTCCCTTCTATAGTATATTTTAGGTAATATCTTTACATTCAATAAAGTTAAACTCCATACTCCACGGATAAGAGGTCTTCCCACATTTATTTCAATGTTTGTGAAAAGGGGGTTGTCATGGCGTCTGCGTAATACATTCGAGGTTGTTTCTCCGATAGTCGGAAAGGCCCGAGAAGTTGCAACTGGTATTGAAGCGTATAGTAGAGGAGCGAAAAAACAAGTCTAATTTTTATTAGATTGAGATGTCATTGTGTTCCTTATTTTCTAAGTTATACATCTAAATTATTACAATCAAGAATTAATCTTTAGACTATTGCTTATTATTAAAAAATATTAAAATAATTCTGTTACTTTTAAAAGAAAGTTCTGGCATATCAACTGCACAATTTTGACACACTTCTGGCAGTAAGAGGGTTAAAGAAATTTGCAGGGTTTGAGAATAATGACGCAATTCAGGACGTCATGGTACAAGGACTAGCGAGAAAACTGCACCATTTTATATATATTTCTTATAGATATGCAAACATCAAGGGTCCAAGTGAAATTTTAATTTTGAATTTTTTTTCAACTGAAACTGAGCAGTTTCATGGTTGGTGTTCAACTACTGATCTCTCCAGAATGTACAAGTTGTATCAGGTGATTTCTTTCAGCCTTATTTCATTCTTCCTAAACTATCTCAGGGAATTATTTTAGATTTTTCAGAAATTCACAGGGCAAAAAAGACCCCAAGCAAACCTTGTTCTTTTGCCAATGCATTCTTGATTTAATAAATAAGATTTGTGTATGTATTTTCTATTTCCCAAAAAATGCCCTAGCATTCTATAGCTTGTCTCCTTACCATAAACTTCTACATTTGATGGTTCCTGTGCAGACGGTACCACTTGGACAGCAGTATATTGTACCAGTGCAGCAATGGTAGCTTGATGGACACTGACTATCAGAATTACACGTCTCGTAAGCTAAAAGTGTATACATATGACTAATCAAATGGAGAGTGATGAAAGAAAAAAATTGACTTTAAATTGATTTCAAGAGGAACTGATGGCAATATCATGCGATGATTTATGATATGACTTACATTTTTATAGAAAGAGTGGCTATTATAGTTAAACATTTATTCAAATTTATCAAGAGTGAATCATTTTCAATATCAGGATATATGTATTATACAGTTATGGAATGGGTGCTCGGGAAATAGCAAATTTATGGTTCCCTAATGGAGGAAACTATAGTTTCCTGCCGAGGGGAACCATAAATTTGCTATTTCCCGAGCACCCATTCCATAACTGTTTTATTATACCGAAACAATCATGGGAGACTCAGAGATTTCTGTAACGATATAGAGGCATTTAATTAATCACAAATCCATGTGATTAAAAATATTGTAAGATAACTAATGCATCAATACCGAGGAAAATAAAATTATTAAAAAATATATAATATTTTCACTGACACTTCGAAGGATTATCGTTGTCTTCATTTTGCTAGAATTCCAGTATGATTTTGACATCGCATGTCGAAATGTTTTGACTTCATAGTTACATTGCTAATAACATTACGTCACAGACTCGAGATTCGTTAAAATTATTAATAAAAATTCATGATGGAGTAGTCCCAGGGAGTAGCTCCGATTTTTCAGGGAGTAGTCTTCAGATGAGGTATTTTATATATATATATATATATATATATATATATATATATATATATAGATATAGATATAGATAGATAGATAGATAGATAGATAGATAGATAGATAGATATCCTGCAACTACTCCTTGCATTGACCTAATAAAGGTAACAAATAAAAAAAAAACCAAAGCTTTATTCGGTTAATGCCCTAATAAAGCCTCGCGCATGTATTCCGACGTTCTAAAAGCATTGTGACGTCATATACATTGCAATGTTTAGGCCCTGGCGTCTTAGGCCACACCAATGTAATTTCTTGTTCTTGACATTTGATGAAAAAAAGTACGAGCGGGCAAGCGGTTAAAAAAATATTATTACTTTTTTGTAGGCAAATTTTTTAGGCGGAGCGTGAAAAATTTTGAGCGGAAAATTATATTTTTTTTTCTGATTTGCAGAGTATAAACAGATTTAAAATACGAAAATAGAGTGGAAATGGAATAGAAAATAGCATAGAATTTCCATGATGCGGGAAATCAAAATTAATATTATTTGTATAGTTTTGCTAAAATACGAGCGCGCGGGTCAGCCGAACAAAAATTTTTATTGGTGGGGCCTTAGTTTCAACTGCAGAGATGTACAGTATGATGCAATACAATATTATTATATTCGTACAAAATTGTGTCGTGTTAACATTCGCGTTTCGATCGACCTATTTATAGGGGAAATAAAGTAGTTTATAAATAGATTGGAAATTCGGTAGTTATTTATAACATTGTTTAATCATGTGACATTTCATGTGTCACGTGATTTTATTGTCGTCTGTTACGTAAACAAATCTGAACCAGCGGAAGCAAGATGGGGCGAAAAGGGAAGGAGTTGAGCAACAAGGTAAAAGAAATCGCTTGGAAGTTATTACAAGAAAGAAAAAACTATCAGCTACGTATTAGAAACATTGAATGTGTCCAGGACTACAATTGCAAGCTTTAAGAAGCGTGTAGAACGTCGAGGGTTTTTAGAAAACATCCCGAGACGAGGCAGAAAACCTATCGTGACAGCCCGAGACTAACTAAAGCTAGAAAGGTTCGTAAAAACCCACCGAAGAGAGAGTTTACAGAATATAACGGACTAATTCAATGAAAATAAAGAACGGCCAATATCTAAACAAGCTAAACAATTACATCTGCAAAAACATGGATTCGTGAGTTGGGTTGCAAAGAAAAAACTGGTAATTCGAGAGGTTAACAGGAGAAAGCGCTTATCTTGGTGTTGAAATAAGAGAAAACTCACAGTTGACAACTTCTTGAGAAAAGTTATAATCTCAGATGAATTCAAGATTATTATGGGACAAGACTCTCGTGTATATATTTGGAGAAAACGGGGGGAGGGTTGAAGGCCGGATTTGGTAGAGGCGCGGAAGACCAAATCATGTTACCAAGTTATGATCTGGGGATGTATCACTTGGCATGGAGTCGACATTATTTTTGAAGTGGATGGAAATATAAATGCTGATAAATATCAGAAAATCTTAGATGACATTTTGTGGCCAGATTTAGCTCGTCATTTTCCGACTGGAAGTTATATTTTCCAAGACGATAATGCTCCTGTACACCGTGCACGTTCAACGCAGGATTATTTGCACAGAAACGGCATTTCAACAATGAGCTGGCCAGTCCAGAGTCCAGACATAAACATAATTGAAAATCTATGGCTCCTTATTAAAAGAAAGCTTCAAGGAAGGATAGGGAGAATTGAGAACAAAGACCATCTCTTCCGTGAAATCCAGCGCATCTGGACCGACATAAAACAAGAGTATGTCAAGAGCATGTACAGGACCATTCCGAGACGGTTACTAAGTGTAATACGCTTAAGGGGTCACCTTACAAAGTACTAGGTAAGTTATTTTTGATTTCAATTTCTTAAATGAAATAAACAAGTTACAATGTTGACCTACTTTCATCGCGAATGTAAACACGCCGCAATTTTGTACGTATATATTGCATCATACTGTACCTAAATCGATTGAAAATAGCTCGTTTTGGAGGTCTGATTTAAAAATATATTGCAAGATAAAGGAAATACATGGATATTGTTTTAAGATATAAACTACATGTATACTTGGGCTCTGGTCGAAAAAGTGATAGAGGGCTCGGCAAACCCTCTATCACGTTTTCTTACCCTTGCCAAAATATCGTTTATATTTCAAGACACTAGCCTTGCATTATATATATATATATATATATATATATATATATATATATATATATATATATATATATATATATATATATATATATATATATATATATATATATATATATATTAAACAAATATAAAAAGAAAACACAAGAATCCTCCGTAAAGCTTTAGCGCTTTCATTAAAAATCTTCAGAAGATTTTTAATGAAAGCGCTAAAGCTTTACGGAGGATTCTTGTGTTTTCTTTTTATATTTGTTTAATATTGTAATCCGATTACTGAGACTTTATTTCAATTTTGGATATATATATATATATATATATATATATATATATATATATATATATATATATATATATATATATATATATATATATATATATATATATATATATATATATATTAGGGATGGCAACGAATATTCGAACATTCGAATATTCATTCGATGAGTTGATATTCGAACATGAATTTAAGATTCGAATATTCGGTGTTTTTCAGATTTCATAAAAAGAAGTACTGATTAATAAATTTTGATTAGAACAGTGCTGGATTTATCCCTATTTAATTTACTAGCGATCAATTTCGATCGCCTGATTTCTTTCACTACTTTCTTTGTTTTGAGTAAGGTGTTAAAGAATTGTACAATAATGCTTTATGTATAATACAGTAAGGTGTTCAAGAATTGTACAATAATGCTTTATGTATAATACAAAACGTACTTTCATAGTTTTTATTAGATACGATCGGATCTAGAATCGAGGACAACAAAATGAAATCTTAGAATGTCTTAGAATGAAGAGTATACTTATCAAAATAAAATTAAATGATCGCTGAATGAATGTCCGATAGAATTAGTCTGTAATTAATATTGTAAAGGGCTTAATTTCAGAATAAATGTGTAAATTACTTGATTATCTCGGGTTGTACATAATCCTGAATTTTATATTCATTATCGGGAAATTAGTTAATTACCTAGAAAAATTGTCTATGGAAATATTTGTTTACACTGTATCAAAGATTATAATCATATCTCTTATTAGGCAGATAATTGTAATTTATTACACGTATTGAATCTGAACAGTATACCGTTACGACTATCTTGCCTTTGGTAAGACGACTGGTTCCTCAGTTAGAGCTACTATAAATACACATGTTTCATTTGTTAAAATTATACTTTTCTACATTTAAATCAATTATTTATTTCAAACATTGACAAATACCAAATGGAATTTCTTACTGTACATCCACAAAAGTATTCATACAATTTTACTTCCAATTTAAAATACCTACGCTAAACCTTTCATGAGAGAAGGATGATGCATATCTAAAATAAACCAGATTTTATTTATTTTATCGAATATTCGAATATATTCGAATACTTTCATTGAATATTCGAATATGAATTATTGACAAAATTGACATCCCTATATATATATATATATATATATATATATATATATATATATATATATATATATATATATATATATATATATATATATATATTAGGGATGGCAATCGATTGCTAATCGGTTAACTGCAAGACGTTCCCACCGATTAACCGGTTAATCGTATCGAAATGCACGTTTTCTTGGCAATTGTTTTTCAAGTAGCTCTGTCCATATACACAAATAGACCCAAATAAGACAATAGAAGTTAAAACATTACATTAGTCTTGATTCTGGATCAGAAAAACTACAGGTATCTAAATTTCAGTAGTCAAGAAAAAATTGAGAAAGCCATAAAAAAAGCCTAAGGAATCTTTGATAATTTTCCAGAGCAGATGTCACAAAAGTTCTTTCTGCATTTACACTATGATAATCAAAACTACATGTTAACTCTATACCCCTTAATTAACGATGTTTATTTAATATTTGAATTGGATTGAAAACTGAAAACCACAAAGACGCCAATTCACAGTGCTCAATGATTCAATTTTTATCATTAAAGAATTACAAGACAGTCGGAGTAACGACATGGAGTTTTCGCAGTACTGTGAATCATCATTGTTCGTGGGGGATCAATGTTCGTGAATTTCGTGGGTAACCCTTACCCACGAATTTACATCCCCACGAACAATTTTTTTGTAAACGTACTGATTAATTAAATCTACCAAATAAACGAGCTGCCCTCGAAATTACATCCCCACAAACCAATAAAATTTTGCTTGCCCACGAACACTGACCCCCACGAATTTAAATGATTCCACAGTAATTAACACTGTACATAAACTGACCAATTACGTTACGGTCTCCATCTGGAGATTCATAATTACATGTATGTCCAAATTAGATTCGTTAAATCCTAAATGATCATTCTTTATGCAGAGATTTTTTTTTTAAATAATTTTTTTAATAATGTGTTCAATTTAAGAAATATTTTATTTTTTTCCGATTACCGATTACAGATTTTCTAATCGATTGCCATCGTTCCGACCGAGTAATCTGTTAACCGGTTACAAATTGCCATCCCTAATATATATATATATATATATATATATATATATATATATATATATATATATATATATATATATATATATATATATATATATATATATATATATATATTCCCCAATCTATCAATCGATTTTCTGGCTGTAGATCTGTAGCTCTCTGGTTGAGAAAATTCGGACAAATAAACGAAAGAGCTACAGATCCAAACGTTGTAAAAACCTTCGATTTACGCTGCCGCTTTATCGCATAAAATACAAGAAATAATACCCGAAACGAACGACAAAAAAGCGGGGGCGTAAATCGAAGGTTTTTACAACGCTTGGATCTGTAGCTCTCTGGTTTGTCTGTCAGAATTTTTCTCAACCTGAGAACTACAGTTCTCCAACTTTCGATTTTCCTTAGCAAACTCTTCAAGAGCAAACAATTACTTCAATTCAAATTCATTTTCAAAATATGACCTCAAAGATCAATTTAATAATCAGAATTTGTAGAATGAAGTTCCAAAAGCGTAACCATTGTTTTACTATGACAAACTCAATGAAATTAGCACAGTAATGATAACTATGCATTTTACATCTCTAATTAATCGTGTCATGTTAAGATATTGCACAATACTTAAAAAATGACAAATGTTTATTCTTGTAAAATGGCCTTATAGTATTGTATAATTACACATGCATAATAATAATTTTTACAAATTTTACATGTCATGGTCGAAGAAATAGAATATTTTAGTTGGCATTACCTTTTCCGATAATTAATTCCGCGAGAAAATATATTTTAACGAAATCATTTTAGCTGTGTAAAGTAGGTTACTAGGAATAATTAATTAACATATATAAAATATTTATAACACTTAGAATTTTATGATTGATCTTTTCCCTGTAAATATCCACAACTGAAATAAGATTCTCTTGCCCGATATCATTATTAAGTAGATCTTAACTTAATAAATAATAACACACTAACAAATCAATTTAATTGAATCAAATTCAAACTTTTTATCAGAATAAATTAATTTCTTTATAACTGGTTCATATATAGGCGATGAATGAATTTGAATTAAACATAAATTTAAATTTAAAACTGTAAGACTAAGTCTTACCGTCTGTTATTGGAAAAAGGTAAATAAAACCAAATATTAGAATCATCAACACAAATTTGTAGGTATCCATTCTTAATGTCGAACTATACTTTGAATTCGATGGCTTGATTTCGTAATAACTTATTCACGGGGATCATTATTGTGGAATTCCCAAGGTGAAGGCATCTTATCTGCGTAGTAAAAGTTTGCTTATCAATCAAAAAAAAAGTTAATTAAAAAGTTAAATTGTACGTCGCTGTTTGTTTTGTGCATATTTGTGATGTAGATGTATGTTATGTATAAGTTAAAAAAAAGGGCAGTGCACTGCATTTCAAACTCAACTTACATATCACGTGAACGCATTTTTTGCCTTAAAATATTTTTTTTGCATGATAGCATGTATATCAAAATATTGCAACAAAACATTCTGTCTTGAAATGAATCTATTAATTTTCCAAATGAATATAGGTGTATTGGTTAAACACAAAACTTATAGGGGATAGAGCATAGTTCTCTGTATTGTAGTGCGTAGGCGCATTATATTTCTAAAACAATTAACACATCTTTATCGTTATACGGAGGAGTTTTTCATTAAAGGACTGGATGTGCATTTGTTCCATTACCAAACTGGTTTGTAGAAAAAACAAAATAGGTATCTGCTCGGTATTATCTCTTTCAGGGGACTTTGAAAATTTCATCAAGAACTCAAATTTGTGATCCACGATAATTCAGGTAGGTTACTTTTTTAAAAAAGCGCCAGGAAATTCACCATAAAAACTTATTGTGTGGATCCGAGGGTTTTGATTCAAAAGAAACTAATCATTTTTCCCCAATAGGTTATTAGATAATAAAGGTAGGACTTACATGAAAAAAAATAGAATGGCCTTCCAAACAAGAATATGCTGCGTGTTTCATAAAATCTGTCCCCATTCGCTGAAAAATCTTCAATTTTTTTTTACATTTTTAAAATTAAAATTTTTGGACCCCAGTAAACATTCTTGCAATACCTTCGCGACAAAATATGCAAATGTTCGCAGCAAACATAGTCACGGACCGCAAAATGTGCCAATACATAAGGAACACATTGTTGCCAAGGGAGCGAAAAAAACGCCCATCTCGGTACATATTGTCGCAGATGTTAATAATATAAGATAGGATAAGATTTATTGATACCAATTTGGGGCCTTCAGGGCATACAAGTAAAGAAAAATACACATAAGAAAAAAATCAAAATTGAAGATGATGATGATAATTACAGATGGGGGCAACCTATAATAAATGATTAAAAAAAAACATATATGTTCCCCCCTTTCAAGGGAAAATTAAATAACTTTTTAAAAAATGATTTATCATAAGATGTGTATTCAATATTTCTAAGTAATTTATATATAGGTACATTGATTGCAAAATGAATGCAATAGTTACAGTAAATCTGTGACTTTCTGAACAATCGTAATCTTTAAACTTTTAGGCATACCTAATTGTACATCTTTGACTTCATGTTAATCATAATGTTATAAAAAGAGTAAAGAAGGTAAGATCTGACAGCAGAACCTGTCTGGTTTACACGTCCACATAATTTAGTTTTAATGATTATACATGTCATGTTCGTTGATATGCATGTAGCAGGTATCGTTTTTGATTCTGTGTAAAGACAAAGATGTTTTCTCGATACATGTCTCCACAAAATTCAGATTTTTTTGCCAATTCAAATTTAATTTGGCATGTTTGAAAATTAATAAATAAATAAAATTGATACTGCCCATATCGAAATAAAGGACCCGATTTCCTAAAGGTTGTAAAGTCTCGTATAGATGTTATCGGGCATGCGCTGTAGTAAAACAGCCCAGTACCAAGTTTCCGAAAGGGAATTCCCCTACGAATTCTTGTTTCTCTTGATAATTGACCAACATCATGTTCGATTCCGGGTGCTCTTTATTATGTATGAGTTCTATACCTTTGAAGTCTATGGTAGAATCTTGTCAGAGTTGTTGTAATTCCTCTTCTTCGGTCACATATCGAGCTAAAGGTAATAAGGCGCTGAGCGAACTTTCCCCATAGATAATTTAAAAAGAGTTTGGCTATCGTTCTTCGAACCGATTTTTTTTATACTTAACAGGTCCATCCTGATACCTTCTCTTTCTAACGTAATCTAGTTTCTGTTCCTCCGTTTGAAAGTCGGGTGGGAATCTCGGAGCTTCCTCTTTGATCTTTCAAAAGGTATCGATGTAGGGTCTAAATAAACCCTTTTTACTTTCTGGAAAATGCCAAGGTATATCCCATGTCCAGTGCTTTGTGTAATTCGGTGGTCACCAAGGTGGCCGTGAGACTGCGTCCCTGGTCCGTGTGTTGACATCGATGTTTAGAGGTAGAGTCCTTTTGTTCTGCACAGGTTCGGCATAATGGAAATAATAACTTGCCTCCCGTGCGATAAGGTAAAACGGACTGATAAATGCCTCGGGGTGGTAACACCCGACAGTGAATGAGACCGATATAAGTTCTCAAGTCTGGAATTGGTCAGTATTGATCTGAGGATGGCCCAAAGGAAAAGGTATGTGATCTAACACGTAAGGGTATAAAAAACAGATGTCTACGTATCTCATATCACCATCCTCACAATATAAGCGAGTATCATTCGTCCGGCCTTCGAACAGGGCCTCTCGGAGGTTCAAAGGATCTGGAATCTAGGTGTCGTACATAATTTTGTAAAGCCACTTCTCTTTCCACTTGTTGATCGAATTCGTGTTCCCAGTACGGAATTTCCTCTAAGACCAAACTCCTTCTTCAAGTTTCCTTGTGTAATACCTGGTAAGTAAATTGTGCCCGGTGAGGATGATTTTCGGTCTGTAGATTAGGATAGCAAGTGGGACATCCGTGCCAATAGCATCCGTAAAATTCGTAGACGGTGTGAGTGGCTTCCTGGTATCCGATCTTGACTTCTCCCCCGTTTTTAGCATGATTTAGAATGTCGTACGTTACCTTCACTCTGTTGACTCATACAGGTAAGCCACCGACAGGCTTTGACGAATATTGACGAACTGGTTGATACTTCATGTTGGAAATGATGGCAATGGTATTTTCGGGGATGAATCCACGACGGTAAGCTAAATTGGCAGTACTGGCAAAAGTGACGGATTCCTGGAAGGAGTCTAGATAGCTCTTGAGTGTGGCTCTAAACTGGACATAGCATCGTCGAAAAATATCGACATCTGAAATACAATATCCTAAAAATTCCTTCTGGAAATCAAACACTTTTCCGGATTGTTGTTCGTACCAATCGTCTAAAGCCTGTCGGCAACTAATAGACATGTCCTCTGGACTGTAGAAAGCCGCTGGTGGATTAGGGCCCACGTAATTCTGGTTCTGTTCCGTCTTGAGCAAAAGGTAAAAAAGTTATACGAGGCGATGAATTTGCATGAATAAGATTTTAGTGCCTTTCTTGTTGATTGTAGGTTTCATGCAGGCGGAATGGACTAGGTAATCTAAAATGAACTGCCCGTTGTATCCTTTGAAATTGTGAGCAATGATGATTGCCTCGTCGTGTAATAAAGCGAATTTCTTATTTCCTGTGTCGGGCTGTAATCACCAGTTCATGAAGTGTTTTGAGGTATCTGGCCCTTTAAACACTTGTTGACGGGTCGACAATGAGGACAGGGATCTTCTATGGGTAAGTGCCCGCAATGCTGACATACGCGATGAGCCACATATAAATTAGGGTCGTGGATGCCGTTTTCATTGGTACATTCGAAATAGAGATAAATATAAAACTGAAATGTCTCTTTTCCCTTCTTTTTCTTCTGGGAGTTCAGTTATACGTAGCACTGATGATCCGTGTCTACAGTTTTCTTACAGATCTAACATTGTTTCTGTCCTCCGCATGGATGATGAGGGAGTAATTTTTGTTTTGCGTCCATTTCTGACAATGCTCGCATCGTCCCAAAAAACTGCATACTGTTGTTGTGGTATTTTTAGTGTGAGGCCGTAAATGATTTTGAAAACAAATTCTGCTTTGAAAAAATTCTTGTCAGCGATGGCACTGAATGTGGCTCCTGTCTGGAGGGCATGGGGTATCTGATAAACAGAAGGAGCATCGGTAAGGACATATAGTACGATGATCTGTGATGTTCCTGTTCCCCACATCGCAATGATCACAGTAATATGGGTTCCCGTCACACCCGGCATGGACAAAAGAGCATAGTAATGATTCTCTTCTAACAAAATGTTAAAACAAGTTCTGTCGCAGCTAGGTTAAGGACTCCCATATATACGCCAGCCCATGCGGAGGTTCGAAAAACCTATTATGACGTCACGTTAAATCAATACAAATGAATCTTGATAAATAAATACTATATGTTCTTTTTTAAACACACTCAAATACCTTCGTTTCTCATAAATATTGTAAAGATAAATGTATGTGCAACTTATCTTGCCATAATAGCACTTAGCGAATGTAGAATGAAAGCCAACTTGATCTCGCTGTACTTACTGAGATGACGTCATTTCTTAGTTTGACACGTAGTTTTTCTGTACTTGAGGCGTGGATCAAACTATTATCGTAGTTTGTAAAAATAGAAATAAATACGAAATCGGACCAAGAAAAGATATATTTTGAAATATATTAATCCACATTTTATTGTCAATCTAAATTGATAATGTTTAGACTTTATATTTAGTTGAACTTTTACGATCATTGTAGAAGTACATATACAAGTATGTTCTAATTTTAAACCTGTCGCGGGACGGACAAACAGCTGATGTAAGCGATGTCGCTTTGCCGAACTCAGAAGAGACCCGAAATATACAAGTGCAAACACCACAATTCACATTTATCAAAACTAATGCCATTAGAAAAATATTGAAATTGTATTCATTTTATCTAAATATTTTCATGCGTATAATTCATGGGCATCTTTACCCCATCTAAGGTCTCCGTAGCCTTTGTACATGGGCTCTATGCCGAGTTTAGAGGAAGTCGACTTAAACTGAAGTATTTTCAGTTAATAGCGGGGGCTAACACCTGTTGTAATTCCCCCATTCTTTGGGTCCACAAGACTGATGAATATCAAAGCCACTGTCACGGTAGCTCAGTCGGTAGAGCGCTCGCTTCGTGATCGG